TGGACGCTCCAACGCGACGACCTGACAGGACACGGGTACGGGTGTGTGAAAGGTGAGATGTAGATGAGAGGCCAACACCCCCGTCGGTCTCGCCGCAACAGCCATTCCCTTGGACGAAGTAGACGTTGCTCCCCCCGCAGACGCACCCGTCGCTGTCGCCGACCCCGTAGCGGACGCAGTAGCTGCAGTCTGATACGCCAGTCCCGTGGTAGCGGTCAACGCGCCCTCGGAGATCTGGCTCTTTACCACGGACAGGTAACTCTGGACATCGCTGGGGAGACTTGCGTACCAGGCGGGTGTACTCCCGGCCTTGAACTGGCTGGCGAGAGCGCTGCGCTGAGAGGGGATGACGAGCTCCATTAGTACGGAAGGGGGCAGTGCGGTGATGACCTCTGGGATGAGGGAGCGAGGCGGTGGGGAGATGTTGTCGAGGTTGGCGGTTTTGGTGGGCACGGTGAAGTTGAAGTTTAGAGATTGTCTGTTGGCTTGTTAGTTTTGTAGATTCTTGTCGTAGGTGAGAATGGCTAGACTCACAGGGCATTTCCGAGGGAGGACCAGTTGGCTAAATCGCTGGATAGAGCTTGGGAGTCACTCTGGGGAGCTGCGAGGGCTGTGGTGAGGAGGAGGGAGAACCAGACTGTGACTCTCATTTTGGAAGTTTGTAGATTCGAGTTTGAGAGGACAGGAAGTGATTGGGGATAATGGACGTTAGAGCGAAAATGAAAAGTAGAGGGTGGTATAAGTACTCCCCATTCAAGCCAGAATGGAGCAGACTCCTGAATACGAGACCCGACTGGTGGAGATGGACAACTGCTGTAGTGCTTGTCAAGGCTTGTGACGATGATTAGGCTAAAGGACTATGGCAGGCTCAGCATAGGCATTTCCTGCCTTACCTATCGAAATGGCTTCAGCCTCGGTCATCAAACAAGCTGCTGTGCCTGGTTTACACACCGCACCGACTCTGGCCGATCTGAAGCAGTCATCCACCTTGTATATTCTGCTGTCCATCTTTATTTGCCCTCACTAAGAACTGCTTTAGGTACAATCAGCTTCCATCCGACGAAGCACAGCCTCCGCTTCTTCTCAATCATTCCCAGGAAATTCGCAAAATTCTGACACGCTACAACGTCCAAGACAAGTTCGGCATCCATCTCATCCATGGGCATTTTGAAATTCCGAGCGATCAGGTGATGCTGGGTCATTATTTTGAGAGCCCCGCGGGATGCTGGACAAAGCCCGTCCCCATTGAAGATGTTGACACATCTAATATCCACGGTCATACTTTCAAGCTGTCTCTGGACGGGATACTGGTTGCTTATGAGTACCGGGAAGGCCCGCCGATCAATGTTAGCGAAATTGATCCGTCTTTCTTTGAGGATATCTTCAGGTACCTCCTTGAACATAACCTGACAGACATATTCGGGCTGCAAGCATTACACCACGGGCCATCTTCGCCATGACTGGCCCTCACTTTCTTTATTATTGCGAGAGGTGTTTCATGCTCAATCCTCCAAGCGGTGTAAGAATGCATCCAAATATCTAATCGAAGAATCTTGCTCATTCACGGGCCTTTCGAAAATACCATCTTCCCAAGTGAAACCATAACGAAGAACCAATCCAGCCCGTTCCGCAATTTTCATGGCATGTTTGTCGTCATCGGAAATCTTTCCCACATGTCTATGGAACGTATCCCAGAAAAGCCCTTCCAACCTGGAAGAATTTTCGTGGTAGTGCCAACCACTTGAGTTCATAGTACCAAGCATGCTCCGAATACCCCACAGAGACATTCCAAATGGCAAAACTTTCGCTTCACCCCAATCAACGATCCCATTGATACCGCCTGCTTTAGCATTGACGATGATATTCATCTCACACAGGTCAGTATGAGTTAGAGCCAACGGATACCTGGGAACAAAAATTGCGGGAAGTTCTTCGCGAAGGTTGGAGATGATGCCTGAAAAACGCGGAGGGAGCTGCCGTACAAGTATATCAAGCTTGTTTTGAAGATCTGCCAAAGAGAGCTCGGAGCGATGAGGCTCCGTCAGTCGGTTCACCCATGAGTTGGCAAAAAATCTAGCAAGGTCAGTTGTGGTTCCACAGCATAGTGAAACTGAAAGTACCTCGCAAAATCCGACACTGTTTGCTCTTGCCACGAAGTACAACATAGTGTTGTTAAAGGTACTTCGATGTAGGTTATTCCGGGAATCTTGTCCATGACATAGACAGTGAGTGAAGGCGATGGTCCTATAACACCTCTGTTGACACAGGCGGGCACAACGCTGCCGTAGATCTTCCGAGCCAGAGCCAGCCTTTCTGTATCTAAGAGAGACTCGGGAACACGGAATTGTACAAGGAGCTCCCCAGCTGCTACAGTGTAACTGAACGCTCCTTGAAGCCGAACTGGCTCCACAGATTGACCAGTAATCTCAGCAGCAGCTCGGTCGCATTCTTCCCGCGTGACTGCAGCCAGAAAAAAATTGATCGATTGTATCCTCGAGCGAATAATAAGACATCTTGGCTGGAATATGCTTTGCTGGTAAAAAGTGAAGAAATGTTGAGTCAGAGTGCAGAAAAGGGAGGATCTGAGGTAGCATAGCGGTCAAGCCTGAGGGCAGGTGCGTGGTAATTACTCCAGGTGGTCAAATGTACTGACCGATGGCGTTTGGCGGCGTAATATGTCATTTACGTGACCAACTTCCTATCTACGAAGGCATCAAGGTGTGCTGTTATTTGTTCCGCTCGTAGAAAGATGGAATATGTCAACGCCCAGGCCAGGTCTGTTGCTATCGATGGAAATTCCAACTTTACGCCGAGGTCTATGGCTGCATCTCATGAAGTGACCCTGACACTGAGAATTGCAATCGGTATAGATGTCGTGATATCATAGGCAGACGTCCTAAGGTTTGGCTGCTCTGGGATGGGTGGATGCGGCTCTCATCCCATCCCAGAAAAGCCCCGATTGCTCAGCGATGAGGATCTTAAAGCGGTCCCGGATGAAGCTATTTTAAGGAAGGTAACCCGCTCTGCAAAAACCTACGGTCACCCCGCGTCCAAGACGGACGCCAGTTCAGGGAAGACATCAATTGGAGAATACCTGGATGAAATCAAGAAGAAAGTGGCAGCAAAGAACCAGAACCAGCAGCCACCAGAGGAATGCTTTTGCATGGAAAGCTTTAACACACTTACCATGAGGATCTTGAGACGACCCGCCCTTGCATTACGCAAAGTGGGAAGACTACGCGGGTGCAAGAGGAGGCGGGCGTTACCAGGGCCTTCTGTTGGAGATGGGTTATTGGATAAGCAATGAGATTGGGACATTGGGTCCAGAAGCGGCGAAATACCAGCGGCATAACAAGGACAAATGGGTGGTACTGCATTTCCATTTTCACACCGTACGTCACTCGTCCCGTTTCCTTCTTGCAAGGTATGCATGGCTAAGTATAAGCAGAGCCCGACGACGTTTGAACACCGGAAGGGGGAGGACACCCTATTTAATCTAAGAAGGATTACGGGGTACCATGGCCGGACCATCACGCAGAAATTAAGCCTGACCCCAATATTACATCCTAGTCAAGGCAAAGGAAGTGGATGAGTTGAAAATGTGCTCTGCCACCTACGCATAATAGGGGGACGCCATGAAACTCAAGACAGACCTGCCTAAAGAAGTGCTGCAGTCCCATCTCAGCAGATGTATTGAGATGGGTGAGAAGTACCAGGACTTACGCGACTAGCCAGCTGCATATAGTCGGCTCATTGGAGCCAAAGGGCTACAGAACATTGACACTGGCATTGCAGGGAGGGAAGAGGTCTTCCGAATTCTGGCCACACAGAGTGTAGAGTCTGACCCCATGATGATCACCTCAGGATGAATCGCCGAACTCCTGGCCTTTGAGGACGGGAGTTCGTTTGAGGCCTTTGATAGGACCGGAGCATGGGAGGAGTGTTTCAACATTGGAGTTGGCCTGGCTCAAATGGGGAGGGACTCACCATAATTGTGCTGAAAATGTTACTCTAGGTTGATAAAAAATTTAATGGCCGGATCTGTTCGCATGGTCTTTTGGCTTTGTGGCTACGAGGATGTCAAGAAGGTGAACAACGACTCGGCGTCCGATATCTAAGACGAACTACGGTGGCATTTTCCAGCGGAGGTGAGAGTAGGAACTACCCGTGCTGCTGGCGTTCGCTCTGTTAGCGATGCGGAAATCGTTTCTGGCCGGCTACTCATGGAACCTACAGTGTCTGCACCTGTGCTGTACCTTGACTGGGCGGCCCTTCGAACACAGCACTGATCGAAGACAGAGGTGTTGTCAACTACATGCTTGATATGAATTTTCACTGCTTGTTACCTGATTGAATACAGGAGCTCCTGAAAGCCGGTTGTACTGTTTTCATATCAGTCCAATGTAGTTGGATCGAAGGCCTTCGGCCGTTGATGGGGGCGTAAGAATAGCCTAGGAACTATTTACAAGCAAAGACACTATCACCATGCACGCGATGCTCTATGACAGGCAATCAGGGAGACGAGCAAATAGAGAACACGAGGTAATGATTGAGGATGCTGGTGGTGCTGAAAGCCAAAGAAATTGTGCGAAGGAACCCCACAACTCCTGAAAAGAGCCGTCGATGATAGGTAGCAGCATCAAAAAGCAGGAAATATGAATGTTGTAACATAAGCGCTGGAAGTGGTAAAAATATGCATGCTAACGCAACTGGACATAATTTGCTGCGGTGGAAAAAAGGTTAGTCTTCAAGCTAGAAAGAAGAGAAGTGAATCAAACTGACCTGGAAACTGGCCCTCTCGTCCATCGACTCTACCAGTCCACCATTCGTTCTGGTTGTCCGTCCGCTGGATAATCTCAATCACGTCGCCCGCAGAGAAGCTGAGGTCACCATGCGCCTGTGCTTCGTAGTCATACAAGGCTGTAACCGTCTCGACTGCCGCACCAAATCGGGCGGGCTTGGGCTTGGGTGGCGGAGGCGCCGGCTTGGCCTTGGCAGCCGCAACAGTACTTGCAGAGGCCGAATACGGTGGAGGAGGGTTGTCGGTCTCCTCGGAGCGATTCGTGCGGGAGAACGTGCTCTTGCTCTCGTACGCCATCTTGTCCTTGCCGGGAGGTGTGAACTTGGAGGGTTGTCGGCCTAGACCCTTTGTCTTGAAATGGACAATAGTGAGTGCTTCTGCCCGTTCCTTGACGTCGCCACGCTTCTTTTCGAATGCCTCCTCAACATCCAGAGTCAAATCGAAATAGGCGATATTCATGCCCTGCATTTTCTCATGCAGTGTGTAAAACACATTCAGCTGCATGTAGTAGAACGACTGAAACAGCGGGCGGATGAACTCGGCTTCAAGGGCAAAGAGTTTGGGTAGCTCATCTTTGAGCAGGTCGTTGTAGTAGTTGTATTCCTGCGTGGCCTGCTCCACGTCATTCTCCGCTTTATAGAGGGCCTTCTCATCCTTCAGCGATTTGTCCTTCTTCTCCTGCAGTTTCTTCAAAGCGTTGCGGTGTCGATCGTAGTCCAATTTCTTGTGATCTCGCTTCACCGCTACCTTCCGAATCACCTTGATCACCTCCAGCAGTTGATTTGCCGGACTCACAATGCGGGTCTCGATCAACTCTAGCTCGGGCGAAAGTGACTCCTGTAGGTCGCGGACTATCGCTTCGTACTCCTCGCAGGCTTGAATTCCTTCCGGGTTGCCTTCAATGGTGTATGTGCTCGGGTCCGAGGCGCGACCGGAGATGGGTTTATATAACTCTGTCATGGCTTTGGAGAATTCGATCTGGTGATTCAACATGCCTGTGTTGTTCATTAGTCCATCTTGCCACCCAGATCTGGCTCAACAAGGTCGACCACGAGTAAATCAGTACCATTAATAGCGTCAAAATACTTCTTGGACTCATCATGAAGCTTCTTCGTCTCCTTCTCGAGTTCTTGAAATCGTCGCTCGGCATCTTGATAAATCGGATCCTTTGTGTGTTCGCCAATATTGAACCGCGCCTTGAATTGCTGCGGTGCGCGAACAATGCTCTTCTGGAAACCCTTCAAACTCATCTCGGGTATTCCTGGCGGGGCGATCTGCTGTGTAGGTGCTCGGCGGAAGTGCTCGGTGTAGACAGAGGTGGGATTTAGGTGTGTTTGAGATGATGCTAGGGCAATAGAGGAGGAGGATCTCAGGGAGTAGCAAAGAAAGAGCGATATTAGAGCGAGAAATGGCTCGGTGGTGAGGAGTGGGGGAAAGCGACCTCTTGGAGTGGATTTGCAGCCTTCAGCCCAGCCCAATATAATGGTTCGTCTGCTCGGCGCTGTGGCTGAGCTATGACATAGGATGGCTGTCGAGGTAAGTGTGGCTGAGAGCTATCTACCAGGTACCTATTATTGTCTTGGTATCAAGTGCAGTGAGTGACCGATGAAGCCTGGCAATGGGAGACGCCAACTTTATGAATGAATATGCCATTTGACAGTAATCTGAGCCTGATTTTCCTTTGCTCATTTGTGCACCGTGATATGATGAAGTCATACATGTTCCTGTGACTGAACATAGGATCGATCGAGGTGTGGCGCAGCACCGGAGAACCAAACCGAATGTCGGATTTTCCCTCCAGGAGCTGGTTTAGGCACCAGTTATTCAGGCTTGGTGTTACTTTTGGCTACAGCATTAGGCATAACCGTAATACCATGATGGCTCGACATCGGTACATAATGGGTTTAATTGAACCCAAGCACAGCCAGGAATATCTCTGACATACTACTGCTCATCTCTGATATTAAACAGAGAGTAAACAACCGCGGGGTAATCGCGTTTCGCCGTTTCCCCTGCCTTTTCTTCCCCACAGAAGCTGTATGAAATTTCCCTTCCAGCTCTATTCACTTGAGGACATGGTATGGATATGCTACCCATCTTGACAATAATATACCTTGTACACATGATACATCGGACAATAGAGAGCTTGAGATTCCTGTGGAAAAGACCGAGATTTCCCAGAAAAGGGAATTCACCGAGCTATCTGATTACTCCGATCGGGCTTAGCGGGCTCGGCAATGATATAACCGGATCCAAACCTTTTTCTCACTCTTGCAACTTTCGCGCCTTCTCGTTAGCTGTTATCCTCTCTGCCATCAACTGAGCATCAAGCCTTTAATGGTACGGTTGAGGAGTCATCTAAATTATGTCTAGCGTTACACCATCTGCCTTGAGACAGGCATCTCGTGCCTATGCTCGTCGACTGTCGTCGACTCAGCATGGCTCCCTGGCGACCGCGTCCTTCCCCAAACGGATGCTCGCCACCTCCGGTGGTGCAGTTTCGAGACGGACATATGTTACCGAGACCAAAGCTGGAAATGCTCAGGTTTCGATCGACACGGCCATCAAACAGGAGCAGAAGAACTTCATCAAGCAGACAGGTCTTCAGCCTGGAAAGGTCGAACTTCCCGCCTCTAGCATCTCCGGAGATGCTTCGTTGAGTCCCTCTGCGGGTATCTTGAAACAAGCAACTGTCATGGATCAAGGAACTCGACCCATCTATTTGGATATGCAGGCCACTACACCGCTCGACCCTCGTGTTCTCGACGCTATGCTTCCCTATCTCACCGGTATTTACGGCAACCCTCATTCCAGGACTCACGCGTACGGTTGGGAGTCGGAGAAGGCTGTCGAACAAGCCAGAGAACACATTGCGAAGTTGATTGGGGCGGATCCAAAGGAGATCATTTTTACGAGCGGCGCCACCGAAAGTAACAACATGAGCATCAAGGGTGTGGCCAGGTTCTTTGGTCGTTCTGGCAAGAAGAAGCATATTATCACAACACAGACTGAGCACAAGTGTGTATTGGACAGCTGCCGGCATCTTCAAGATGAGGGATTTGAGGTTACATATCTTCCCGTTCAAAATAACGGACTGATCCGGATGGAGGATCTCGAAGCGGCCATCCGTCCCGACACGGCTCTGGTCAGCATCATGGCCGTCAACAATGAGATCGGTGTGATTCAACCCATGGAAGAGATCGGAAAGCTTTGCCGTTCGAAGAAGATTTTCTTCCACACTGATGCCGCCCAGGCAGTTGGCAAGATCCCCTTGGATGTCAACAAGCTGAACATCGACTTGATGTCTATCTCCAGCCATAAGATTTATGGCCCCAAGGGCATTGGTGCTTGCTATGTTCGACGTAGACCTAGGGTTCGTCTTGAGCCCATCATCTCCGGTGGTGGTCAGGAACGAGGATTGCGCAGTGGTACGCTTGCTCCTCACTTGGTTGTTGGTTTCGGCGAGGCTTGCCGCATCGCCGGTCAGGATATGGAGGTAAGTTTTATTTTTCTTTCATAGTTCTATGTTCTTTCGATGTTTGTCGACGAGGATTATATATTGCATTGGTTTCGGAGACCATGACGGTAGCTTCATACCTTTGGTATGTTGTCATGGCTGCATGACGTACATCGCAGGGGTAATGAGTCGACAGTTACTGAAGTTCTCGCTATGACTTCATCGATGCTATGAATTGCTCATACTAATGTATCGAGCAGTATGATAGAAAGCACGTTGAACGGCTGTCGAAGCGCCTGCTGGATGGACTTCTGGCGATGGAACACACCACGCTCAATGGAGATGCTGAGCGCCATTACCCTGGTTGTGTCAACGTCTCGTTCGCTTATATTGAAGGCGAGTCCCTTCTGATGGCTTTGAAGGACATTGCTCTGTCGTCCGGTAGTGCCTGTACCTCTGCCTCACTGGAACCCAGCTACGTCCTTCGTGCGCTGGGCAGCAGTGACGAGAGCGCTCACAGCAGTATCCGTTTTGGTATTGGACGATTCACAACTGACAGTGAGATTGACTACGTTCTCAAGGCTGTTCAGGACCGCGTCCATTTCCTCCGAGAGCTGAGTCCTCTGTGGGAATTAGTTCAGGAGGGTATTGATCTGAACACCATCGAATGGAGTCAGCATTAAACATGTTCTCCTGGTTTACCTTCCTAGGATGGCCTGGCGAAGTCTGCTGTCCATTGAATTCATCATTCGCAAATATCACATTCGGACGGCGTTGGGTTGGCATGTAACAATATGAGGATTGATGACACTTGATCCGTTTTATATAGTCTGTACAGAATTGAGTAATGAGCTGCTTCAACCTCGCGCACTAGATCATATCAAACTTTCAATGCAGGGCTCATCTCCTCCACCGACACTACTAGTACTGTTTGTCTAGCTAGGAAATATGCTTAAGTAGTCATGCGTCATAAGGAACTGCCACAGCGTATGTTAGTTCTCTTTACTAAATCCAATAAGGAGTGCGGCGTATCTCCTGCTAAGTGGATAATTATACAGTAGATAGTACAGCAAATAATATGGTACTGATGTCTGCACCGAGTGTAGTCTAAGGTACTTCAGATCGTCAATCATGTGACCCAACAATAGAATAAACTCGGTGTCCCCTGCTTTCACCGCAGACCCGAACGGGGTGGCGTGGGTGCAGGCGAAAGCGCCGGCGGACTCGCTTAAGGAGGGGGAACTGCACCCGATTTCGCACACTTGCGGGCTGGGAGGCGGCGACCGCCAGTCAGAGGGGGTTCCGGTTCATTCTCTAGCACTCAAGCTAGCACTCGTCAAATAGTGACCCCCTCTCGCTTCCACCCAGTGCTGCCGCTGGCATGGCTTCACCTGCCATCCCATCTATACTAGCTACGTCTGGAGTATCTGGAGTCTGGACTATGTCTTTCGATCTCTTGATATAAAGTACAAAAGAGCTGCAATAATGTCATTGTATAACCTGCATACCAACTTTTCATAGCATTCCGACGCATTGTCTCCTCCTCATGTCACCCTCTCTTGCGTGTCTCATCACCCTGTCTCTGGCCCACCCAGTGCTCAATAATAACCACTCACTCTGCAAAAGTCAGGTTTAAGTCTTCTGCCTATATCGGCCTCGTTTTTCCACGGGACATTCACCTCCTTGTTCTCCTGTCTGAATGATCTCTATTGATTGGCCAGGATGTCTTGTCTCCTGACATTCTGATTAATGATCCGTCCTAGCCGGGAGACTCGTTCTGGAAGAGCCGTCAATATTCCTCACCCAGTCATGCTTAATCCGGTCAATCTGTTTCAGTACTCAGAGCACACGACCAATTTATAACTCACAACGCCAGCTTCCTTTCTATCCTGTCTTTTCTGCTCTCACGCAATCACGAACATTATTAATCCTCATGCGATCCCCCACCGGAGGAGCAACTTTTTCTACCGACATCCCGAATTAGAAGGGCCACTGATCTTCTTTCTCTTCCTGTACTTGTAGCTTTTTTCTTCCGCTCTCCTCCGCGTGAATCGGGAAGCTTTTTATTTCATGGCTGGGATTCCTGCTTCTTTGTGTGGTCTATCCTGCTTTCTCTAGTGATACAGTGAAGTCTGACTGAAGGACTGCCGGGTTGCTTTGTCTCAGACCGGTCTCTTCCGCTGAGTTGTCCTTTGCTCAAAGACCAGTTGCTTCTCAAGCTTTGAAATATAGGCGCACGATCAACTTCATCATACGCCCCAATTCGATCAAAAGATCTGGGGTATCGTCCGATCTGAGCCACTCGGGTGTCGAATCCGGAGCAGAGTTTAACAAACTTTGGAACCTGAAGTCACGGACTCACGGATTTGCCTCCAGGAGGAACGCGGACTCCAGTATCCGCTAGATAAACAAACGGGTTCTGCTTTAATTCTCAATTGCTTAAATCACCATATTCAAATCCATCCTATTCTGTATTCAAGCTGCCACTCCAGCTTGTTTGCATTGATTCCCTGCCTTCACAATGCTTGCTCCTATCCCCGCTCTCGCGGACTACGGCATCTCGCCAGATCATGGCTTCCTTCCATCTGAACCGCCACTCGACGCCCTTCCAGATCCTTACTATGCCAAGTGGGAATGGATAGCTTCCAATCTACAGTCTCTTCTACACAGCGGAAGGATGCGGGACGTTGTCAACCGTCTACCTATTCTTCAAACCAAATACCTACATGCCGAAGATGAGTGGCGAAGGGCTTATGTTGTATTGACATTCATGCTACACGGTTACGTCTGGGG